CCAGGCGCAGGCCTGGCTGGGCTTGGTTCGAGAGGCTACATCTGTTGTGTAAGCGGATTTGTTTGGCCTTATTTTCTCTTAATGTTAGGCTGCAAAAGAATGTCTCTTTTGGGGCCGGGGAGATGGCTCAGTGGAAAAAGCGCTTCCCTGGCAAGCGCAAGGGCCTGAGTTCAATCCCCGGTTCCGCCAAAAAAAAAAAAAAAAGAACATCTCTTCATCATTTGCAGTGTATTACAGCCACACACTCAGGATTTCTTGTGGTGTGTTGTCACCACTGACAGTGATTAATCATGCAGTACACATTCACAGAGAAGCACCGTCTTAGAAACTGCCTGTTAGTTCATATCCTTGCCTGGTGCATCCCAGTGTCCCTCAATTTTTCAGAAGACTAGGAAATGCTACACATTGCATTGGATACAATCCCATCCTCATCCCCACTTCAAGAGCTTATCCTGTCCTTCAGATTCCCCAGCACAAACCTTGAGGTATTTTTCCAGCATCTTCACTATGTGTCTGTTATTCAGAACACTCTTAGCCACGTGGAGACTTGTTTTCTTGAACTGCTCAGCAGCCAACTGCAGAGAGAACCGAACATGAGCTCTTATAAGAACAACAGAGGAGCAAGAAAACAAAGCAACCAGAATTCAATGGGTTATCCCAAGGGACAGCCATCATTCCTTATTGAGGCAAAGCTTGAAATGCTAAGCTCCAAAAACGAGAGAAGGCACCTAATAACCTTTGGGAGGTAGATGATACAACCAAACAGGAAAGTTTGACAAGAAAAATGCCAAAGATAGGCTGCTGTTAACCACATACCATGTGTAGAAGCAAACTTTGAACTATAAGTGTTACAAAAACAAACAAAAAATTATAAGCACTATAGACTTACTAGGGAAAATGGGCAAGGGTTTTCAGTAAATTATTATTGCTTTTGTAATAATTTCAGTAAATGTGATTGCCACCGCCCAAGTGGCTGTTTGAGAGTTTGTATGCGCATACATTAATCCCTTGCTTGTAGAGTGCTTTTTTGCTGATCTAGTTCTGGGAGATGTGTGATCAGCTGTTGATGTCCCTGTATATTAGTTGGGAAAACTAAAAATAGGAAATGTCAGAAGAGAGGGCTGTAAGGACTGCCAGTAGACCAAACACAACCACTCATTATCATTTATAACTATGTTTATCACTAGACACAGATCCCAGGGCCTGCACGAGGAACAGTCACTCCCATCACTCCTTACTATCTGCTGGGGACTGACTCCCAGGTCCACTCAGAAAATCCAGACACTAAAACTCCTTACATCAAATGGCTTGCTTGCTTGCTTTTTCTGAGATAGGGTCTCTCTGTAGCCTAGGCTATTCTTGAAGTCATGATCTTCCTGCCTCCTCCTCCTCCCAAGTGGTAAGATTACAGCTATGTGTCATATTCTTCCTACACTTTAGAAGACTCATAACCTAATACAATCTAAATGCTATGCAAATAATTATTGCAACTCATGGTTTAGGGAATGACAGATGAAATATCCACTCCAGTTGTTTTTGATCTACTCTTGGCTCAGTCTATGGATGAGGCACTCAGGGATGAGGGCCAGCTGTATCCATGGGCAGGGACTTAAAACCCCTGCCTTATTGGTCTTAAACAGCCTCAAGTTCTTCAGCCAGTTAAGATTAAACCAGTCCAAAACCTAGGCCCCCAGACTCAGCTTACATAATTTTTGGCAACTATAGTTTACCTGGTGATTTATAGGGAATACTCGTAACAGAATTTCAGCTATGGTTTTTTTTTTTTTTTTTTTTCAGAACCAGGGATTGAACTCACGTCCTTGCACTTGCCAGGGAAGCACTTATTCCACTGAGCCATCTCCCCAGTCCCTCAGCTATGGTATTTGATCATTTCTTTCTTTCTTTTTTTTTTTTTTTTTAAAGCCTCTTTTTTTTTTTTAAACATTTATTTGTGTGTGTGTGTGTGTGGCCAGCTCAGCCCACCAGGGGGCGGGGGCTGGCTGGCATGTGGGGCTGGGGGATCAAACCGTGGTCCCTGTGCTTTGCCAAGCTTGTTCCAAGTAGGTGCTTTAGACCACTGAGCCATCTCGCCAGCCCCACTGATCATTTCTAAGGAACACATTTTTTTCTTCTAAGCAAAACATTTCTCTAAGATAAATCCTTACTATGAGGTCCAAGTTGGTCTTGAATTCCCAGCCTCTGACTCCTAGCTGGGACCACAGGAGTGTTAACAAGTCTGGCTCTTGTTTTAATAAAACTAGATGATTTTAAGCAAACAGATTTTTTTTCCCTCTTGGTATGAAAAAAAGGATTGGAAGAAAGGGACAACAAATGGAACAGACTCAATGAAAGCCCTACAGATGTGTTCGCAGTGAGACACAGAATGTTCCAATCTACACCCCACCCCTAGCAGTCCAGGACTGCCCATCCCAGGGAGGACACACCCTGCGGTTATGGTTGTGGTCCATGGAGTGCAGGTGCCGCTGGAGGAGCTGGTGCTGTGCAGGAATCAGCATGTCACAGGCCAGGCAGTGTGCAGCCTCAATCTTCTTGAAGAAGTGCTCCTGGCCAATCCCTGTGATGGAACCCAAGTGAGTGATCCTTCCTCAGTTTCTTCAACAAGTCCCACATTTTGCCCCTAGAACTTTGCTTTTTCCTTTTTTTTTTTTTTTTTTTGCCATTTTTGAAGCAGGGTCTCACTAGCATTTCAGGTTGGCTTTGAGCTCACTTCACAGCCTAGGCAGGTCTCATAAAGATCCTCAGCCTCCTGGGTGCTAGGATTATAGGCATGCACCCACTGTATCTGGCTACTATTCTTGAGACAGGGTCTGACTACCAGTTAAGGTGGTTCTGCACTGACTGTGCAGCCCAGACTGTCTTTTCTTTTTTTCCTTTTGACAGAACCAGGGATAAGCACTTATTCTACTGAACCATCTCTATGGCCCCCCTAGACTGTCTTTGAATCCTGCCTCAACCTTCAGGGCTGGGATCACATTATCACCATCACACCCAAATCTTTCTCCCACACTTTCTAATGGTTAGGCCTGCCTCTATACTTGGGAATTTCACATGTTAACTTTTCTTATCTTTCTAGTCCTCACCCTGACATCACTGATAAACTCCTTCTGGAGTCTGATCTCCATTAGGCCACACCTGGTGCTTTTTCCCATAAGACTTAACTTTACATTCCCAGGACCCTGAGCTGAGGATGGAACCCAGGGCCTTGTGCATGCTAGGCAGGCATTCTATCACTGAGGCACATCCACAGCCCTTGAGAAAAGTCTTGTTAAGTCACACAGACTGGTCTTCAACTTGTGACCTTCTTTTATAAGTAAAAGAGATTACAGGCATGCACCACCAAGTCCACCTTCACAGAATTTCCAGGGTTCTGTCAATGCCTTGTGTGGGGGATTAACAACTGGTGGTGAACTTGTTAACACCCAGCAGAAGAGAATCAGCATAGTGCTGGGTGTGGCAGGCCCACCCGAGCATTGCTGCCGACATAAAAGGAGACTGAAGAGGAAGACGTGAACTGTTGATTTTCCTAGAGAAGCTTGTCACACTGGTTTTCCCAATATGAACTCAGCTGTTCTCTCTATCTCTTCATTGGAGGAGCTAGGGACCTTTGCTATGGCTGAGAATGGCTGCAATTCTCTTCAGGGGAGCTCTGATCTTTGAGTGTCGCTTTCTGCCTCCAGTGCAGAACCCTCATCCCATCCTGGCCCCGATCCTTCGTTCTACTCATAGACTTTCGAGTGTCTACCATGGACCTTTGGGCTTCCTAGTGCAGACCCTTCAAACAGGCTTGCAGAAGACATTGTCATGGACTCTTGGCCTTGAGCTGAACTTGTGGGGGCACTGCCATGGGCTCTAGCTAGACTCGTGCAGGACATGAGCATAGGATCCAGGCCCTCAGCTGGACTATTTGGGTCTCTATAGATCTCCTGCACTCTTGCACTTCACACTTTGGGTACTATAAGATAATCCTATACATTGTGCCCTGTGTTGTTTCCTTTACAAACGCCTGACTATAACACCTTGTGATTATCCAGAAAAACCTATATCACGGGATCACAACTCACCTTTGAAAGGGTCTGGTTTTGGTTTTGGGCTTTCCTTTTCCATCAACTCCTGACGTCGCTTCTCAATCTTCTTATTTCTGTTTATGATGTACTCCTTGAGGGTGGAAGACAGCACAAAGTAAAATGAGGATAGTGTCTGTGACTTTTACCCAATCACTCACAAGGCTGTAAGATGCCATGGGAACAGCTCTGTGGGTACAACTTCTAGAGCTCTTTGTTGACTCTCTGTGACCTGGAGACTTATACAGCTATTTTAATCTGGGAAAAGTTTCAACCACATTGAAGCTTTTCCTTTTCTTCTCTGCCAGGGGTCACCTGGAAATGCTCTGGCAAAGGCCAAACAACCCTTACCTGGAGGAACTCCACCGTCTTGTCAGGCAGTTTGGTGCTTATAAATCGCAGCGTCTCTTTGTGAAATTTGCTCTGCAGGTGTTTCTGGATTTCTTCATCTTCAAAGCTACGGAACTTGCACACAGAGCAGGCAAACTGAATCCTAGAGAAGGAAAATAAAAGTAGTGAGGTGGAGATAAACTTATCCCTGGGTACAGGTGAAATGGAAAAGGAAGTATGGCTTCTAATTCCTTTTCTTTTTAGCCAAGGTCTCAAAATGCAGTTTAGGTATTATGCCTAGACTCAAACTCAAGGCAATCCTTCTACCCCAGTCTCCTGTTGGGATCACAGGTATGTGCCTCCATGTCTGGCCTTAGGAAATGTGACTTCTAAACTAACATAAGCCTGTAACTTCTAGTAGGGGGCACACTGCAGCAGTTACCCAAGCATCTGAAGAACAAAACACAGCCCTGAAGTATTTCAAGAAAATGACTCATGCACTAATTCAGCCATTCTGTCTCTGAACCAAAGATCCCTCACAGAATATGCTAAGGTAGTGATTTTTGAGATTGTGGTGTGGACTCCCTAAGTTCAACTCCTTAGCTTCTCACTCAGCTGAGTCTGTCTGAACCACAGGGCTTTTTTTTTGCAGAACGGGGATTGAACTCAGGCACTTGTGCTTGACAGGGAAGTACTTATTCTACTGAGCTATCTCCTTGGCCCCTCACAGGGATAACTTCTGAAAACCTCATTTCATATGAAAGAAAAATTCCTGAAGACCTCACACAATTCAAAGTTCACATAACCCAAGGTGGATTCCCTCATACTCCATAAAGAGCGAGCATATAAAGTTCTACAGGGGAAATGATGCTTCTTTGTGGTATGCTGTCAGGTCTCACTAAATGCAATCAGGCTGCATGTGAAGAAGAAACAGCAGCTTGCAGCACCCTGGCCCCAGAAGCAGGATGCCCCTTCCTTGGAGACTCCAGTGGTGCCGGGGTTAAGGGTAAAGGCCCTGTGGCACTCAAGACCCTTCCATTTTCAACCTGAGGCTTCTGGCTCCCAGTGCCTGGCTCAGTTTTGTTTCAGTGGTAATGGGGACTGAACCTAGGGACTTGTGCATGCTAAGCAAGTGTTTTGGTTTTTTTTTTTCGGTCTTTTTGTTGCCTGAACAAAAAGACCGAAACTTGCAAGGATCTGAACTTGCAAGGATCCTCCTGCCTCAGCCTCCTGAGTGCTGGGATTGCAGGTATATGCCACCACACCCAGCTGAAAAACAAGTTTTGATGAAGTCTATACCACTTAGGAAAAAATAAACATGGTTTCTGTTTTCCCAACTCTTATTAGTCCTCTCCCTTCTCCCCTCTCCGTGCTGCAGCCACTTTAGTACCTTTTGGGTTTGGTCCTTTTTTTTTTTTGCATTTTTGAGACAAGGTCTCACTATGCAGTTCAGGCTGGCCTTGAGCTCACTTTGTAGCCCATGCTGGTCAAAATGATCGTCCTAAGGGCTGGGGAGATAGCTCAGCAGTTCAAGTCCCTGCCTGGCAAGCACAAAGTTCTGAGTTTCATCTCTGGTACCCAAAAACCCCCAAAACCAAAAAACTCAATGATCCTCCTGCCTCAGCCTCTGGAGTGCTGAGATTACAGGCATGTGACACCACACTCATGCAAGATTTGGCCTTTTTTTAAAACGTGTTTTTCGGGGGCCTGGCCCTAGCTCAGTCCTTTAAGTGGCTGCTTCCACAAAGCTGTCAGCCTCAGGTTGCTGGAGTTCGAACCTCACAACTCTCCCGCTGGCCAAAAGTGCCCTGAAGGCATTCGAGGAACAAAAAAAAAAAAAAAAAAACAAAAAAAACAAAAACATTAAAAAGTGTTTTTCTTTCCCCTTCCTTATAACTCTAGAGATCAAACCCCGGGCACTTCTAAATCACCCTCCACTACACTTCCCTCCCAGTCAGGGCTTCACAGAGCTGTTAACTTGCCTGTGTGGGACTCAAACTTTGATCTTCCTGCCTCCCTCACTGCTGGGATTATAGGCTACTGCCACTGGGATTATAGGCTAGCCATTGGGTGGCTAGTGCCAACCAGCCCTTTTTTTTAATTTTATTTATTTATATGTGTGTGTGTGTGTGTGTGCGCGCGCGCGGCCAGCTCAGCCCACCAGGGGGCGGGGCTGGCTGGCATGTGGTGCTGGGGGATTGAACCCTGGTCCCTGTGCTTTGCTAAGCTTGTTCTAAGTAGGTGCTTTAGACCACTGAGCCATCTCACCAGCCCCAGCCCTTTTCTATTCTTACTCTATTTCCAAGCAATGTCTAAATGGCCACCTATGCCCGTTTTCTCCCTATGTCGAACTCCAGAAGTGGTTTAGATTTGGACAGGGCACCAGGGTATCTTTTAAATGAAGATCCCCTTAAAGGGTGCCAAATGTCAAATGTGGGACAGCACACCCTTTTGGCTTGAAGGGAAAGGAAGCTCCTTTCCTTGGTAGGTGTATGTGGGCCACAAAACCCACCTACCAGCAAGGGTGCAGTTCTAAAGGCAAAAGTCAGCGACAGAAACCAATTTTTCAAGCAAGAACAGAAACTTAACTTTACCTCTGTTTTTCCCTACTCCTAACTCTCCCAGCTTTGTCCTCTACAAACTTGGCTAATGTTTCCTGACACTTGGAGCCAAGTCAAGCCACACCCAACCCTTGCAGAGGACAGGCGAGCTTATAACAGCCTGGACAATGCCCAGGTCCACCTCTATTCTGTGGGGGTTCTGCCTCCACTTCTCACCTCTGAATGGCCCCCACTGACTCCTCACCTGTCAGCTGCTCGGTCCCGCATCCTGTCTCTCCTCCTTTGCTTTTCTCGCCTCTTCTTCATTTCCTCATCCTCCTCATCCTTCTCTCCTGTAACAGAGAAGTCCTTAGGAGATGCTCTGAGGGGCTTGCAGAGGAGTTAGCTTCAGACCCTCACAGGCTGCAGCTTGGCTGCCACACCCTGTGCCTAGCCTCCGCCTTCATAGCATGGCAGGTCCAGGACATCCCAAGCACTGAGGGGTGTCAAAGGCTCCTAATGGACAGGAGCCTTTGCTGAGGATCCACAGGAGTCACTTTACTCCTATGGCTGGCAGGCTGGGATGGACCTGCCCATCCTATTGACATGGCCCACCTGCTGTCTTGCCCCAGCCTGGCTGTCCAACCTAGCACGGTCATGGAGTCTTCTCCCACTGTTATGTAAGGAGAGCAGTTCTCTCCACACTGAGGCGGCGGCTGGCTTGCTCAAAAAGGAAAGCAAGCCGCTCATCGCCTTCTTTTCCCACCTCAAGGTGGGCCACTATGACAGTCCCCGTCGGCCTTGTCTGAGCTAGGGCCCCAGCAGGATTAATAGTCCTTGCTGGCCCATCCTCTATCTTCTGTTCACAAAAACTGCCAACCTAGGGCTTTCTGCTTTCCCAGGCTGCATGGGAAGCAATCCTGGAAACAAAAATGGGAAGAGACCACCTGGTCTTCCCGTGTGCCCGCTGGGGCCAGCGCAGGAGCTCCTACCAGAGCCATGCGGCTAGCATCCCAGTGAGGCCAGGCCAGGTCCCAAGGCCCGGACCAGAGGCCGGATGCTGAACAACGTTGGATAAGCATCTGAACTGTGACCCCTACCCCTGAAGCCAGTCCAGAGACTGTCCCACGAAGATGGCGACCGGCGGGCGCTGCTCAGAAGCCTCTCAAAAGGGCGTGTGGGACTTTTGGCAAGAGGTCACTGCCTGAAACTATGACTGCTGTTTAATAGCAAAGTCATCCCGGGTAGGTAGCAGGACCTGTGCGCAACAAACATGTCACCTTTGCTTTAGCATTTACCCGGCTGCATGAGCTGCTGAACACTTGGTATGGTCCCGCACTATGGACACAGCTGCTCCGATACATTGGGGGCAGGAGGGAGGGGAACTCAGGTTGGCTAGGGCAAGGGCCTTCACCACTCAGAGAAAGGGCCAGCCTGGGATCCTGGGAATAACCAGCTATGGACCAACCCAGAAAACAGGGGCAGAGACGATGGCTTTTGGGAGAGCTCAAGGCAACTGTGGCTCAGGCTGCTTTTCCAGGTCACTCCAAAGGATATGACCTTGTTCTTTCTTGCTTGCTGTTTTCTTTGGGCTTCTGAGTCAGTCTCCTGTCTTGGAACTGATCAGACTTACAGTGATGGCTTCTCTCTTGAGACATAAGCTTGGGTCCACTTGATGGGCCGCTTCTACTATTATACTACCGAGCCCAGTGGGTATCTGCTATCCCATTCCTGCTTGTACTATGGCTGCCAACAGCCACAGCATAGAGGCCAAAGGCACAGCTCTGGGCTGGCAATGGGGTTAACTGGACAAAATGAAGCCCAGAAAAGAACAGTACAGTGACTTGTACTGACCCGAGGGGGGACAGAAAACAGGCTAGAGGGAGCCTTGTCTCTCTCAGGTTTCTAAGATACTTCCTTCCCTACCACAAGCGTCACAAGACACCCAGAGACACCTTACCCCACCCCCTAGACCACAATGAGTGAGGCAAATGGGCTCATTTCCAACAAAAGCTGCTTCTAGACACTGAACAGCACCTGGGGATGAGTGCCACAACCTAGGCGACCTAGGCCCACCCAGCAGTCACAGCCCCTCTTCTCTCCCAAGTGAGCTGGCTCACAAGCCCATGCTGGCTAGAAGCTGGGCAGTGAGTATAGGACAGACACAAAAAAGCTGAAAGGACACTGGGTGATGCCTACCTCTCTGCTTCCCAGCGTCATAGAATTCATCCTCCTGAAAAAGCGTCCAGGTAAAGTCAGATGGTTACGTATTTTTAGAATTTCCATAGCCAGTCTAGCCCTCTCCCACCATCTGTTGTGTAGCACCTGGCCCCAAACCTTGGGTCCTGGGCCTTCATGAAAGAGGCAATGTGGGGAACATGCCTCAACCTGGAAACTGAGTGTCAAATTACTACTTCCAGCTGTCTTTTAAAGACCATGATCATGATTTTTCTGTTTTTAAGCCAGACTTTGATTTCTCTCTTCCACTACAGACTCTGGCCCCTAGAATGCGCATAACCATGGTTGGGCAGGAACCCATGCACCAAGGGGAAGTTAAGAAATTCTGATTTGTGTAATGTTTTTTTTTTTTTTGAGACAGGGCCTAATTCTGTAGCTCATGCTGGCTTCAAACTCATGGCAATCCTCCTTTTTCAGCACCGAGTGCTGGGATCACAGGTTCGTGCCACTAGGTCCAGCAGCCATGCCTAATTCCACCATTCCTGACTGAAAACAGGCTTTACCAAAGCATTTGTTTATATGTAACTCAGAGTTCCAACAAATGCACTGAATCCTAACTGAAAATCTAGACAGAGCCAAAGCCTTAGGCAACAAACCCAAGATTAGTGACCAGATTTTCAGATTTCAAGTTTGAGCATCAAAGCAGACAAATGGGGAGCAAGAATAACTAAGGTTGCTCCTTCCTCTATCCTCCCTGCCCTACTACCTGTCTGGCCTTCAGAAGTACTAGAACAGCCTCCTCAGGCCCTACCCCTGTAGGGGTCAGCATCTGCAGACAGCAGAGCAAGCAACCTCCCCGCAGTGCATGGTGCTAAGAACTGGGCAGACGCTACTTTCAACATGGACCACAAGGACTGAAGAATGAGGACACAGCCTGTTACATGAATCCCATTACATGTCTACTGGTCCACACTCATCACACAAGTGATGGCCCAACATTATAAGGACACAGGAAGCTAAAGAAGGTACTGGAAATTGTTTTTTTTTTTTTTTTTTTTTTACAAAGAGAACAATTGTAGTCCAAACATTTAGAAGCCTAGCTACAGGTTGTGGTATCAAATCTATTTAGCGGTATATCAAATGGAGTCCACTTGGATAGCTACTCCTATTTCTTTGTGAGAAAGAGCAATAAAGAAAAAAAGCCTCTGAGACAAAGGGGCTGACCCATAGCGTAGACTTACACCCCGAAATTCTTCATCTCCTGACCGGAAGTCACCAGCTCCATCATCTGCCAGACACAAGGGAACAGGAAAGGTCAGTTCCTGGGCAGATGCACCTATTCCATTTTGCTTTCCAAAGTGGTGTCCTGACCATAACAGGGGCTGAGGGAAGACTGGAAATGCCACCCAAATAACTAAATATGCAAAGCTTGGACAGGTCAGGGAACATTGCAAGCAGGGAATGGACTTGTCTCACACCCACCCAGCCTGTCAGGCCCCAGATGTACCATTGTCTGAAAAATCGCCTTCGCTGTCAGCACGGGTCAGTTTGGCATCTGGTTCCTCAAACATTGGAAACTGCTTCCGCTTCCTGCCCATACTGTCTGGTCCGAAGCGCTCAAACCCTCTCCTTCTGGTCTATAGATACAAGCACATCCCATGTACCACTTCCCTGGGGCACTGTGAGATACCCCACAGAAATAAAATTTGCAAAAGTAGAGAACAAAGGCAGAAAAAGGTCTTTTCAAAAAGCTAAGAGACAACACAGTTAAAATTCAAAGAAAACACTATGCTCAATGAAAGAAGGCAGAGAAAAAAACCAGATGAGTAAGTGAAGAGGACCATCAGAAGGAACAGGGAAAGACTGCTAATCAATATGTTCTTTCCTGGGTTATGAATATGTTCTACAACTAGACTGTGGAGATAGCACAATTCCCTGAACTTGTTAAGAGTAGAATGGAACCTTAACTTAAAAAGTGAGTATGTCTTTCCCCTCCCACCCCCCAGAACCAGGGATTGAATTCAGGCCCTTCTGCTTGCCAGGGAAACGCTTATTCTGAGCCATCTCCCCGGCCCAAAAAGTGAGTATGTCTTGCAGGATATAAATTTCACCTCAAATACCAAGCTATTGAAAGATGCCAGAAAGGAGCAACAGAACCCTTTGGGTACTTACCCGATCTCTTATCCGAGCCTGTGATCGGCCACATCCATAAGGCATGGTGTTGTCATATCCACCAGTCCCTTGCATTCCCATCATGCCATAGTCAGGGGCCATGGACTGGGAGAAGAGGGAAGGGGGTGGCCTGCTTGGGGAAGGGCCTCCCAAGCCTCGTCCACCCATGTAGTTTAGCTCATTCCAGGAAGTGGACAGGGGCTCAGTGGAGGCTGAGGGTGGTATGAAGGGGTCACTGCGCATAAAAGTGCTTGAACTGCTCCGGTCTTGGAAGCGGCCCGGGCCTGGGCCTGGACCTGGGCCCTGACTCTGGCCTCGGCCTCGCATAAAGCCATCGAGGGACCCTCGCTCCCGGGCTGGGTCCCGGCAGTCATTGTACTGCCCACCAAAGCTGCCATTGCGGTCAGTCCCCAGGTCGAAGTCATAGTCATAGTTGTAGCTGGGGCGGTATGGATTATGTTCGGGCAAGCAAGGCCTGGAATCATACGACTCATATGGCTGGAAGCGGAAGGAGCTACAAAGAAAGTAGAAGTCTATCAGGAGTGGCTGGGGACATTCCCCAGGGCACCCAGGCTGTCAGTCCCCACCTTCTTCTGATAGAAGCTAACCACCACCTACTAAGCTGACCTCCTTACAACCTTCTTCAGAACCATCCTGCACGCTGCCTCAATGTTTAGAAGGTAAAGCAGACCAATATCCCCCTTTAAACATCACTCAACAAAGGATATGGAGCCCTTGACCATAAGAACTAAGAATAGCATGATACAGAAACAAGAAATCTGTGTGTGTGTGTGTGTGTGTGTGTGTGTGTGTGTGTGTAACTGGGGATTGAACTCAGGCCCTTGCACTTGCCAGGGAAGCCTTGTTCTACTGAGCCATCTCTCTGGCCCAGAAACAAGAAATCTCAGTCCACTGCCCCAGACCTCAGCGACTTAGGGAACTGCCATGTTCCGCCCTCCACCCCAAATGGACCAGCTCACAGGGCCACACTCAGGTGAGGCAAAGAGGAGCAGACACCCATCCCCATTTGCACATCTGTGTTGGCAAGGGCCCCCCAGGGAAGGGCTCAGACCCATAATCACCTCTCCCGGTCCTGCATGCCCTCCCCACCGCTGCCGCTCCCGCCCCTGCCTCCTTCCTTGGACATCATGTCCAAGCGCTGGTTGATCTTGGCAATGAGAGAGTCAGAATTGTCGGTGCATGGTTCTGGACCATAAGAGGCCATGTGCATGGAAGGGCCCCCAGCTGCCAGGCCACCATCACTGGCTTTGGTGGCTTCCCATGAAGATGGGCCGTAGCTGTATGTTGCTCCTGCAGTGACGTTGGTGCTCTGGGCACCATAGTAATTGTAGTTGTCATAACCTAGCAAAGGGAAGAGGGAGGTCAGACCCCAGCAGCCACAAGGCTCCTCTCAGCAGACACATGCGCAGAACACCCGTTACCCACTGTAGAGGACAAAGTTCACAGCACCAAGTGCTGCTGGCACATATACTGTGCATGTGACCAGCTAAGAGGCAACAGGAGGCCAAAGGGACATGTGGCCTCACCTTAGCAGTTAAGATTCCTGGGTCAGACCCTAAAACTTATCTCCCTACCCCAAATCACAGGACACTGAAAGCCCAGGGATGAAAGTGTGGGCTGCTGACAGACCCATCTAAGAGATAATACTCTCAATGACACATCCACAGCCCTTTTGTAACAAGTTCTTCTTGAGGCTGGTGCAGCCCAGGCTCCCCTCAACATCCTGCGCTCAAAGAGCAGCAAAGACTGGTCTTATGCATAAAGAGAGCTCAGAAAACCATCCAAACCTCCCAATGGCCTGTCCTGTCCTCCCACCTTCAGAGAAGCTGCAGTCAGTCAGGCTGGGGCAGGGGTGGTCACACAGAGCCCAGTGCATACCGGTAGACTCCCAGAAGGACTTACCTTGCCAGCTGGCCACACCGCTTCCATATGTGCCTGAGGGGAAACAAAAGCATGCAAGAGCTTTAGAGGCAGAACAAGAATGCTTGAAATTGCCCTGGAGGAACAGCTGCTAGCTCACTCTAAGAGGAGCTGGGAAAGCCAAAGGCACAACAGCACTCAGGAAGGAGGGCAGGGGATGGCTACATCTTCAGAGTTCTCTCCCAGGTGAGCCTGGCCTCCTGTACTGGGATGTGGAAAGGAAGATGGTTGGCAGAGCCCTTGTAAAGGATCAGCTCTCACCAGAAGCCAGAGCCCAGGCACTGCCAACCATACTAATGAGGCAGCAGTAGAATTCATGTTCTCAACTCAACTGAGCAGAGGATATCATATGTCACAAGTGAATGACAGGGGAGATAGCCTCTGGCAACACGGTGACAGCCAGAACAGTGGTCCTGCTCCCAGTGGAAGTAGGGGCAGGTCCCAGGCTCATAAAATGAAGCTATCATCTCCTAACAGTGGCTGGCAAAAGGCAAAAAACCCCTGCAGCCCTCTTCTGCTTCAGTCTGCTGTCAAGTGTATGTTCTCGCCTCCTAGTTAACCATGTCTTCTCACAAGACTTTCACAATCAAACGAATCCTGACCAAGAAGCAAAAGCAGAATTATCCTATTCCTCAATGGATTGGGATGAGGACTGATAATAAAATCAGGTACAACTCCAAGAGAAGACACTGGAGGGAGACCAAGCTGGGGCTGAAAGGAGCTGCACATGAGCTACAATATGTTTACCCTCTGGGAGGTCACAGGACGACACTTTCTTTAATGGTCTAGATAATACTGAGGGCTGGTGAGAGAGCTCAGCGATCTAAAGCACCTGTTTAGGCAAGCACTCAGAGACGGGGCCAGCCAAATAGCTCAGCACATTGAAAGTGTAGGAATGGGGGTTCAATCCTAAGGCCTGCCACGCCCGTGCCCATGCTGGCCCTGCCCCAAGGTGTGCTGAGACGGCAACTGAGACTGGGCATGGTAGCAAAAGCCTATAATCCCAGCACTTGGGAGGCTGTAAACAGGTGGATCACTGAGTCCAATCTAGTAGTGAGATCCTGAACACCCTATAGATCCTTCCCTAAAATACATGAGGGGGGGAGGAGAAAAAAAAAAAAAAAAAAAAAGGCAGTCAGGGACTGTGGTTCAATCCCTGGCACAGCACCACATATGGTGCCAGCCCCACCTCCAGGATGGGCTGAGCCAGCCATTAAAAAAAAAGCTTAAAAATTAATCATTGAGGGCTAGCCAAACAGCTCAGTGGATTAACGTGACTGCAAGCAGAGGTAGGGGCCAAGAGTTTGATCCCCAGGCCTGCTGTGCTGGCCCCTCGGGAGGCTGTAAACGGGTGTTTCACTATGAGTCTGATCTCGCTGTGAGACCCTGAACACCCTGTAGACCTTTCCCAAAAATACACACACAAAAAAAACAAACGCCACAACAGGAGCCGGGGAGATAACTCAGTAGAATAAGTGCTTGCCTGGCAAGCACAATTGCCTGAGTTCAATCCCCAGGTCCACAAAAAAAAAAAAAAAAAAAAGGCTGGACCAATAGAATATGTTTAATCAGGAATTCTAACTTTTTTTCTATGATCAGTACTATTGAGTCAATAATAAATATTTGATTTTTAAAATTTCATTATTTATTTGGTCTTGTAGTGATCCTCCTGGCATGCAGTACTGGGGATTGAACCTGGGTCCCTGCACTTGGCAGGCAGGCACTCAGACCGTGAAGCTATCCTCTTAGCCCTAATAATAAATATTTGAAACCTTAAAGACAAAACAAAAAACCCTTGTGACCAGAGAGCATGTTTCAGGATTCCAAACAATGTGAAACTCACTGTTTGGACTCTAGAGCAAAGATCAGCAAAAGCCCCAGGCCATATCCACTTTACTGCTTGTTTCTATACAGCCCTCAAGCTAAGAATGGCTGTTATATTTCTATGGGGGTGGGAGGGAGAAACACAACCAAAAGGACATTGTGTGTGTGTGTGTGTGTGTATACACATATATATCATATAGAATTGTATGTACTGAATTTCTTGAACTTGAAGCTATTGTGAAAAATTTGTTACAGGAAAAACCGTCTGCACTCTCAAATATTTACCTACAGAAAAAAAAAAAAAAAAAAAAAAAAAAACCACTTTGCTAGGACAAACTATTTCACAACACGTGTAAGTAAGGAATAGTCAGTTGACGAGATCCACTTAATATTATCTATGCTGTACTATGGAGACAACATAGCCTGTAAAGCATGGCTTATAAAGCTGAAGACACCTACTATCTGACTCAGTACAAGAAAAGTGTGCTGACCCCGGGGCTTGGTACTGCCTGGCTAGGGCCCTGGGTGGGAGAAGTCAATGCCTCCTCACTCATGATGGAGGTCCTACTTACCCTGGGTGTTGGCAGGCCCAGCACTCCAGGCCCCATACCCTGTAAGAAGACAATGCTGTTAAGATTCTGTCCATCACACTAAAAACAGGGTTTTGCAACACTGCAAGATTAAAGGGATTGCCTCACAGGCTACTTTAGTGACCACCTTACAAGACTTAGGTCCTCCACATTGGACCCCACCCAACTTGAAGAGAAAACACCCTGGCAGACCAATCTGTTCAAACAGCACATCTCTCTCTCTCTTTTTTTTTTTTTTTTTTTTGCGGAACTGGGGATTGAACTCAGGCCCTTGCGCTTGCCAAGGGAAGTGCTTATTCCACTGAGCCATCTCCCCGGGTCCCAATCTGTTCAAACAGGAAGCTCCCTTCACTCAGCTCAAGAGACTAAAACAAATCTGTTTATCAGGATGGTTCCCAGGCTTACAAGAAACTCTGTAAATCTACAGAATAACACTCTGTCAATCAACAGAATACCACTGTCAGCCTGCACTTTCCTTTCCCAAGAGGCACCAGACCCACCAATGATCCCTGAGAAACCTAAAATTGTCCATGCCCCTTGGTGGGACTCCTTCCACCAATTTTAAATTTGTCTATAAAGCATGTTCCCTCCCTTTGTTGAAAATAAAGATGTGGCTGCTTGCTTTAATCCTGTCTGTCCTAGTAGTCTCAATTGCTCCTCAAGGTCTAGCCTGAAAAGTCAGCATAGGGCTGGGGAGATAGCTCATTAGCTCATTCGCGTAAGCACCAAGCACATCCCTGGCTGAGTTTGATCCCGGGTACCACAACAACAACAAAAAGGCAGCATTAACTCAGCCATTACCTTCTCTCTGTTACCCCTATACTGGCTGATGGCATCTTCCTACTCCAGCAGGCTGAGTGAAAAGCAGAAGATGGGAGGGAACTGGGCTTGGAAGTTAGTCTTGGCCTTCACCTGCTGAGGAACCTTGACGTATAACCTTCCCCATTCCAAGCCTCCACCCACAACTAAAGGTGACACAGGTAACACAGGGTCTCCCAATGTCTGCCCCACACAGCTGGAAAACCAGCTCAGATTGCTGCGAGGGATGTCTTATAACTGGGAACATAACTTGGGAATTTGGCGACATAAACCATGGCCCTTTGGGTTTCAAGTCCATGACCTTCAAACCCTCCAATGACTGCCTGGGTCTTTAAATTCCAGGGCTTCAGTCTGGCCCTAAAGCATCAGAGTGTCTTCCCATCCCTCTATGCAGGGGATGTAAATATGTAAATTACACTATTTAAATTTCTGTGTCCCTAGAGCCCAGCACACAGCTGGGTACAGGTAGCTGGCTATCTATAACGTCAGATGACTTCATTCTGGTGAAGCCCGGACATAGTCTCATCTCAGTCACCAGAATCCTACCACTAACTGAATGACAGACCACTTTGTCTACACAATAGCCAACCAGCAAATACTGCCACTCAAAGAGATGAGAGTGCAAAGGCTCACAATCTAGGGGACTTGATCCACAGTCTTACAGGGACTGACATCCCTCTGATGATCTCTACAGGCAACACCCTCCTCATTGGTACAGCAAAAAAGTAGCAAGCAGACTCTAACAAGTGAGCAGTCTTGGGGCTTCCTTGTGAGGCATTTATCTATTTACTTAATCTCAAAACATTTCTTTTTCTTTTTTGGAACCAGGATCCCAACGCAGGACCTTGCATTTGCCAGGTAGGCACCTTGCCGCTGGGCTATATCCCAGACCCCCTCAAAACATTTCTTGAGGCAAAAATCAAGGAGGCAGCAGTAATGTAAAAGTTTTAGGAGTTAGGAAATAGGGGACGCAACTCAAAATTTCTGGCAAAAATACCTGGTAGGAAACAAAGAATTATCTAGCCGGACTTTGAAAGCCTGGCTGCGTGTCCCTCTAGAGCTGCAGACACCCAACCACAAGCTTCAGGCAATTTCCTCACTTCTCTGGGAGTAATGGTAGAGCACACCAGTATGTAAGGCCGACACCCTAGGACACTGAGGCAGGAGAATCCCAAGTTTAATTCCAGCAACTTAGCGAAAGCCTATCTTACAAATTTCATTTATTTTATTTTTTGTATTTTCGGGAAGGGTCTACAGGGTGTTTAGGGTCTCACTACTAGATCGGACTCCTACTGATCCGCCTGTTTACAGCCTCCCAAGAGCTGGGATTACAGGAGCACACCACCATGCCCAGTCTCAATAGCAAGCTGGGGGTGGGGGTGGGCGGCATGGCATCTCCGGAGATCGCAGGCCTGGGGATCGAACCCCTGGCCCCTGCGCCGGCTTTGCAGGTGCTTTCATCTGCTGAGCTATTTGACTGGCCCATACCATACAAATTTTAAAAAGAACTACATGTGTAGCTCAGTGTAGAGTCTGCATTCAATTCCCATTACAGGGAAAGGGGGGAAGAGAGAGATCCTGCCTTCTCCAAGGGCTGCACTCAGGATGAGATCACCCTGACTTCTTCTATGAACCGCGTAGACCTACCCTGTATGTTCATTATTACTCTTGAGCAACTCTTGCTCTCAGCACAGAACAAGGCCTATAAGGGTGCTGTGACTCGAGACAGGAAGTAGATAGGCCCTACAGCAAGCAGGCCGTGCAGGCAAGTGGGTAAAGGGCACGTAGCCACCTACAGCGCCTCTTGGCTCCTCCAGGCCACCGTACGGGGCGGCCTGAAAAAGAACAGCCATCCTGTTGTCTAAACCCAAAAAAATCTGGTTTCCAACTTCGCAACACAGAATACTTCATATCTCGTCCTGCCTCGTCCTACTCCGGCAGTCGGTCGAGACGACCGCCCTAGGCCAGCACACGCCTACACAGCACGGGCCCAGCTCGGCTAACCAACAGCTTCTAGGACGGGCGCCCTGGGCCATGGATATTAGCCACGAGTCCGACCGAGGCCCTCGGACCAAACCCAGCCCTTGGGAGGGTGCGCAGAGCCCCAGGAACCCAGACTTCGACCTGGGATCCCAGCCGCGCGTCGAGGCTCCGCCCCCCGGCGCCGCCATTTTGTGGCGCCTTCAGAAGAGGAAGGCGGGACTGCAAAACCGAGGTCGGCAGTACCCGGCCCAGCCGCGTTTCGTTCGGGACTACGACTGTCCGATATGCCCGAGGAGGGCCCAGAATCCCCCCGCAGCACTGACCCCCTCCCGCACTCTGCTGGCCAATCCGCTCGCGGCGCCCCTGGAGCGACTGCGCCGATCCCCAATGAAGTGCGCGCGCGCGCCGCTCCCGCCTCTCTACAGGGCCGCTGTGCAGTCACCGTGCTCAAGCCGAAAGCCCTGGAATGGGGATTCCGCGCGATAGCAGCTTCCTTTCCCAGACAGGACCTTCCCACACCACGCAGAAAACCCCACACTGACCTCCGTAGCCTGGCTCCATGTCTCCGACGCAGCCTACCAGCCAACCCTTTTTCTAGTCTTCCACAGGACGCTCGCGTTTAACGTACCTTCCGTCACCCGCTACTGGAAGATCAGAAAACACGTCACTCTTCCTGCACTCCCATTGGCTAACTTTCGCGGAGGCCCCGCCCTACCGTCCAATCCACCTTCAGGGTCACTCAGGATCCGCGCCCGCAGCATCTCGGGAGTTGTGGTTGAGTCTATCAGGACCAAGCCCACGCAGGCGCGTTTCCCCCTCCCCGCGCGCAGGCGCACCACTCCTCCGTACCGCCCAAGGACACACAGATGCTTCGGACAGGGGGAAAATAATTTTTATTTGCCAGAATTTCCAGCCTCAGCCTCGCGGGGCCAAGTCACGGGACGCCTCCGCCGCCTTCTTCATCATCCTCCACATCAAGGCCTGGGATGCCGCGGATCTGCCGCTGCAGCGCCCCGCCCAGCAGGGGCACGGCGCCCTCCTCCTCCTCCTCCTCGGGGGGCGGCGGAGGCGGCGGAGACGCAACCTCGGGGGCTGGCTCCGGGGGAACGGGGGGCGGTGCAGGCACGCCCTCAGCCCCAGTCGCGGCTCCCACCGCTTCACCTAGCGCCGTCTCGTCCAAAGCGCTGCCCTCCACCTCCTCTTGATCCTTCTCCTCCTCGGGGCCGTCGGTGAAAGGGTTCTCACCCTGCAGGGAGTGCAGGGTGGCAGTGAAGGGGGAGGACCCAAAAGGACAGGGCAGGACTGGGACCAGTCGCTCCTTTGCTCACCTTAAGGTAGCGCTCTAGTTTCTTGCTGATGAGCTTGTTGTTAAGGATACTGCGGGCCACCATGAGTGAGGACTTCTTGGACTGCTCCATCATGAGCTGCAGGCAGGGCAGGTAGGGCTGGAGAAGCCGCTCCCAGAGCCATGGCCAGCCCGACCCCAACCTGTCAGACTGGACCCCACTGGACCCGCTCTCCAGCTCACCCTCAGCTCTGCCATCACATCCAGCCAGCCTGAGGAGGGCAGTGAGGCCACTCCTTAAGTATGGAGGCACGACCTGGTCTGATCTTTGACCAAATGCTCCATCCTTCCATACTGACTAAAGAGATAAATGTATATAGTTCTATATACTTGGGAATACTATTAAGCTGGGCTTAAGGGCACATGCCTGTAATCCAAGCGATCTGGGAGGCCGAAGCAGGAGGATTCAAAGTTGGGAGCCCAGCCTTAACAAGAGATCATATCTCAAAAAAGGGCTGGAATGTGATTTATTATAAAGATCCTGGATTCAAGAGTACCATAAAATAAAGTAAAATAAAACTATGTTAAAAGCCAAGTGTGGGCCAGGGAGATAGCTCAGTGGAATAAGCATCTGCCTAGCAAGCGCAAGGTCCTGAGTTCAATCCCTGGTACCAGAAAAACAAACAAGCAATTAAAAAAGCCAAATGTACAACCCATAAGGAATCAACTACTCTAATATCAAAGTAGCATGATGGGATCAAAAGGGAGAATATTTAAAAACAATAATACAAACAATAAAGTTAAATGACATGTCCTTCTAACCTATAGGATAGAGGGAACAAAGAAATACTTGCGGCAGTGGGAAGACTGTAAAGACACTTCTCTGCTGGTGGGATGATAACTCTTTACATGGTTTTTGGAAGGCAGTTTTGATAATTTGCATCAGTAATTCCTATCCCTGAGTTTAAGAACCGGAAATACACATGTACACTGGTTGTAGGGCTGAAAAATTGGAAAGTACCTTAATGTTCTTCAATGGAGAAATGAAGAAATAAATCATACATTTGAAAGAACATCATGCAATCCCTAAAATCAGTCTCATCTCTCCACTGGTATATTAAGAAAAATGTATTATCATAGCAAGTGTGGTGCATACCTATAGTCCCAGAGCTCTGCCAGGCTGAGGTAGGGTGACTGCAAGTTCACACCCAGCCTGGGCAATCAGCGACTTCATCTCAAAATAAAAAAATATATAAACAACAACAAAAGAGCGGGGTATAGTGGTGTATGCCTATAATTTCAGCAGGTGGACAGCCACAAGTTCAAGGCCAGTCGAGGTTCAAAACCTGCCTGAACTACATATCAAGACCCTGTCTCTAAATTAAAAAAGCCTCTGAATTCAATCCCCAGTACAGGGTAAAGGGGCGTGGGGAGGAGAAAAGAAGGCGAAATCTGTATACTGTGACCCACTTGTTTTTGTCTGGAAGAATTTCTACCAAGATGTTATACTATTTCCTCAGTGGTGGGAATCCTGGCCAATCTCACCTTTATCATCATAAAGCTATAAGTAGAAAAATGATGAGGATTCTATTTTTGTTGTGTGGGAGAGCCCGCCTCCAGGAAACCTGTTGAGCCCCAGACAAGCATAGAAAGCCTCCCTGTTTTTACATCCTATCCCACATTCACCTGTCTTTCTATACTACATGGGGAGAATTTTTTTTTTTTTTTTTTTTTTGCGGAACTGGGGATTGAACTCAGGCCCTTGCGCTTGCCGGAGAAGTGCTTATTCTACTGAGCCATCTCCCCGGCCCCATGGGGAGAATATTAACAAACCTCACACATGCTTATAATGAGTTATGGAGGTATACCATCAAAATAGACCACAGATACCACTTAGTTACTGTTTCTCACTTGCATCACATAAGCCTCTTCCCTGGTGCCCAGATGGATATATTAGAAGCTCTCCCAAATGAGACACATTTATTTGGGTTGTTTCCAGATTTTCAACCCAATAACCACCAGTATAAAAGTAAACACTTCTAGGCTGACTAACCAAGCAGTCTCCCCAATGTTATCTGATTACAATGAAAAAAGAAAATTGCAATGCAATTCATTCCTCCTCTGTGTTTATGGGTTGAGCCCAGGAATTAGAGGTCAGCCCAGCCTAGGCAACACGGTAAGGTCAGATCCCAAAAACAAGAGCCAGGTATGATCCCAGTATTCTGGAGGCTGAGGCAGGAGGATCACTAAGTTTAAAACCAACCTGTGTGAGTGAGTTCAAGGCCTGAGCCAAAGTGAAAGCCTGTCTAAAGAAACAAAACTATCAGCATTGGAGTTTATCACTGTGGCATATTTTTGCTGCTGCATAAAAGCAAAAGAATGTGTGCTGCCCCCTGGACACTTCTGTGCCCTACCAGCAAGCATAGTAAGGCTGCAGATCTGTGCATCATACCTGCCCAGTGTTCTAGTGAGGTCAACTCCTCTTTGGCTTCTGGATTTCCTGGCTTGCTCAGGAAGGCTTCAACATTCAAATAAAACCATGTATTTTTTCCTTTGTTTTACATTTACGTTTTCTGGGACTTCATATATGGCACAAAACAGGGATCTGATTTTCTTGTCCAGAAATTTATGAAACCAGCTATTATTTCCTACTATATTGAAATACAGATCCATACTCCCTTATTTAAAAAAATCTAAATTCCTAGATGCTCTAGAAAACAAAAGATCCTCTCAAAAGACTCATTTGGTGGCAGAACATAAGCTAACAACACATTTTGTCTTTTTTTTTTTTTTTTTAATGAATTTAGAACAGGGTCTAGAGCGTGTACAGGGTCTTGCTACATAAATCTGATTCCTAGTGATTCTCCTGTTTTCAGCTTCCAAGCACTGGAATTACAGGCACACGCCACCACACCCAGTCTCAGTTACCACCCGTTATAATCACTGTCTCAGCAAGCCCCAGGGGCAGGCCAGCACTGTGCGCTGGGTATCTAATGTGGTCCCTGGGTCTGCCTAGGCAGGTGCTTTAATCCGCTGAGCTATCTGGCTGGCCCTAGGTCATCTTTTTTTTTTTTTTTTTTTTTTTTTTTTTTTTTTTTTTTGGCAGAACCGGGGATTGAACTCAGACCCTTGCACTTGCCAGGGAAGCGCTTATTCTACTGAGCCATCTCCCCGGCCCCTAGGTCATCTTTATTTATCTTACTCGTACAAGTCACTTCAATTATTGATTATCCAAATACAAGGCACTTTTTCCAGATCCTGCTGGAGGTTATGGAACATATATCAGTCTTTCTCAAACACCTCCCTAAGGACTTAAGTGACTTGTACTATAACATACTGCTTTGTATTCTAAGGTAATGTCTGTCTCTGTCAGTCTCTCTCTCTCTCTCTCTCTCTCTCTCTCTCTCTCTCACATGTATAAAGCAAAAAGATGTAAAACTTTAATTTCATTCATTTCACCATTCTGACCTAGATCTGATTTGTACAATAAACATCAATTTTGGGAAAACTGGATTTTTTCTATTAAATTTTTTGTTTGGGGAGGGTACTAGGAATTGAACTCAGGGACTTGCACTTGCCAGGCAGGCGCTGTGCTGCTCAGCTACATCCCTAGCACGGGCTATTAAATATTACACCTGCCAAAAGTACAAGAATGTTCCTTCATTCATTGGGATTTCATATTCTTGGAGATCTGTAGTCCTTTCCTTTCATTCATTTGACCCAGTAAGCCCTCAGATATACCCTCAGTCTTTTTTCTTTTTTGAAGTGGTGTCTTTTTAACTTGCCGGGGCTGGGCTCCAACTTGCAATCCTTCTGCCTCAGCCTCAGTAACTGGAGATATAGCCATACATCCCTAGCTCAGTTATTTTTTTTTTTTTTTTTCCCTAGCTCAGTTTTGAGCTTTCTTGTTAAGTCTGTACTCACAGGTATTTCATGTATCATATAGTGAGAATTTTCCCCTCATTTATATTTCCAGTTGGTTATTACTAGTGTAGAGACAAATACAACCTTTTGCATGTTATCTTGGATTCCATCCCCATTACCCAATTTTATTAATTTAATTTATTTATTTATTTTTTGCGGTACCAGGGATTGAACTCAGGACCTTGCGCTTGCCAGGCAGGCGCTTATTCTGGCCTATCTCCCCAGCCCCAATTTTATTAATCTTAAAGATAATTTGCTGGGGGCCGGGGAGATGGCTCAGTGGAGTAAGCGCTTCCCAGGCAAGTGCAAGGGCCTGAGTTCAATCCCTGGTTCTGAAAAAAAA